TGGAAACACTACATCTTTGCTCTGTTGTTTGCAAAGAAAACAAGGTTGCTGGGAACATAGGTGTTAAGTCAGAATCAGTAACGTTGGGCCACTTTTTCCATAAATGGCATCTATTAATTTTATACTTTTTGTATGGCATACAATGTATTGCACAGATTTAAAATGTACAATTTGGCAAGTTTCAAAATATGTATACATCCATGAAACCCATCACTAGAATCAAAATAATGAACACAGTCCTTACTCTAAATTGTTCTCTCATATTCTCCTGCCTCTCTCTGCACTGCTTCCCCAAACGAGAAGCCATTGATTGGCTTTCAACACTATAGATTGGTGGACATTTTCTAGATTTCTAAAAAAAATGGAATCATAATACGTGATTGTCTTGCTTTTGTTCAGTATAATTATTGTGAGATTTATCCATATTGTTTTGTAGATACTTAGTACTTTCATTTGGGTTGGTGAGTGGTTGTCCATTGAGTGGATACAAAATAATTAGCTTATCCACTGACCTCTTGATGAACATTTGAATTTTTTCCAGTTTTTAGCTATTACAAAAAAAGCTTTTATGAACATTTCATGTATAAATCTTTGTATGAACATGTTTTCTTTTCTGTTGGGTAAATACATAGAAGTGGAATGACTGAATTGTATGGTAGGTATCTGTATAACTTCTTAAGAAACTGCCAAATACTTTTTCCAAAGTGATTGCACCATTATATTTATGTATTATATATGTTTATGTATATTATGTATTTATGCAATATATCATTGTAACATTTTATATTTACACATTCAGTATAGGAATTGTAATTCCTCCACATTCTTTAAAATTTTTTTAATGTTTATTTATTTTTGAGAGACAGAGTGCGAGTGGGGGAGGGGCAGAGAGAGAGAGGGAGACAAAGAATCTGAAACAGGCTCCAGGCTCTGAGCTTTTAGCACAAAGCCCGCCGCAAAGGTTGAACTCACAGACCACGAGATCATCACCTGAGCAGAAGTCAGACACTTAACTGACTGAGCCACCCAGATGCCCCAATTCCTCCACATTCTTGCAGTTAGTATAAATCAGTCTTTTTCTTAAGTTTATTTATTTTGAGAGTGCGAGTGGGGGAAGGGCAGAGAGAGAGAGGGAGAGAGAGAATCCCAAGCAGGCTCTGCACTGTCAGCTCACAGCATAATGCAGGGCTCAAACTCATGAATCCTGAAATCATGACCTGAGCTGAAATCAAGAGTTGGATGCTTAACTGACTGAGCCACCCAGGTACCCTGGTATAATTAGTCTTTTTAATTTTAGTCATTCTAACAGGTACCAAATAGTATCTCATTATGGTTTATTTAGCATTTCTCAGATGACGTTATTAAGCAACTTTTTATGTACTTATTAGTCACCCTCATATCTTCTTTGAAGTTTCTGTTAAAATTCTTTTCCTATAATCTCAGGGGTCTCAAGGCCACCTTCGAATATGCTAATTTACCAGAAAAATTCACAAGAATCACAACAGATTTTACTCATGACTAACATTTGTTACAAAAGAAGTATATAGAGAAAGAGGAACAAGATATCCATTGGGTGGAGTCCAAAGTAGTTATACACAGGTTTCCAAGTCCTTTCCCATCTGCAGTCACACAGGATATACTTTTTCTCTGGCTGTGAACTATAGGAACATATGTGAAGACTCTCTGCACAGGGAAGCCCATTCAAGTCTCAGAGTGCAAGGCTTTTATGGAGGGCTGGACACATAGGCATATTCTGATATGCAAGTATCTATAGTAACTAAAACTCAGGACCCCAATAATAAAATCACGTGCACATCATCAATCTTGATGTTTGTGCAAAGCAATTCTGACAAGATAGTATAACATGGTTTATTGCTCTAGGTATATACAATAAAATCCTCAATTGTTAATAGCAAGAACTATCAAAGACTACAGAGGTTGTACAATGATCACTAATGGCTCCAAGCTCTCTTGGAGATGTCTGAGGAGTGAGCAATAAGACCTGCTGTGTTAACCTTTTCTCATACCCATTTTATTATTGGGTTGTTTACTTATTATTGAATTTTAGGAATTATTAATATATTCTATATGCAATCCTTTATCAACTATATGATTTGTAAAGATTTTTTTCCCAGTTCTCAGTTTGTCCTTTCATTCTTCTAACAGTATCTTCTGAATTGTAGAAATTTTGAATATTGATGAAGTCCAATTTATCAATTTATCAATTTGTTGTTTTATGAATAATTTCTAATAAATATTTGCAAAACCCAAGATTTTAAGCATTTTTTCCCTGTTTCCTTCTAGCATTTTTATAGCTTCAGGTTTTTACATTTAGGTCTATAATTCAAGTTAATTTTTGTATATGGTTTGACCTGGAGTATTTTAAAGTTTATGGATTTTGAGAGAGAATGTGTATATGCATGCACACACAAGCATGCACACACACACACACACACACACACACATAAATAGGGAAGGGGAAGAGAGAGGGAGAGAGAATCCCAAGCAGGCTCCATGCTGTCAGCATAGAGCTTGATCCCACAAACCGTGAGATCATGACCTGAGTAGACATCAAGAGTCGGACCCTCAACCAACTGAGCCACCCAGGCACCCCTGACCTGGAGTATTTTAAAGCAAATCTTTGATATCAGATTTTTTCACCCATAAATACTTTGGTATGTATCTCTAGCAGATGAGGAAAATTTCAAAAACAGAATCCCAATACCTTTATCATAATTACTTAATAGCATACGGTAATCAATCTGTATTCAAATTTCTCCCAAATATCTTTTTGTCTGTTTAAGATCCAAAAAAATAAGCATATTGCATTATGTTGACATGTTTTTAAAATCTCTAGTCATCTGTAACAGTCCCCTTATTCAATTTTCCTGTCATTTTTTTTTATTTAAAAAAAAATTTTTTTTCAACGTTTTTTATTTATTTTTGGGACAGAGAGAGAGACAGAGCATGAACGGGGGAGGGGCAGAGAGAGAGGGAGACACAGAATCGGAAACAGGCTCCAGGCTCCGAGCCATCAGCCCAGAGCCTGACGCGGGGCTCGAACTCACCGACCGCGAGATCGTGACCTGGCTAAAGTGGGACGCTTAACCGACTGCGCCACCCAGGCGCCCCAATCATTTTTAAAAAATAATAATCCTTGGGGCACCTGGGTGGCTCACTTAAGTGTCTGACTCTTGATTTTTGCTCAGGTCATGATCTCATAGTTCATGAGTTCAAGCCCCATATTGGGATCTGTGCTGACAGCGTAGCGCCTGCTTGGGATTCTGTCTCCCTCTCTCTCTACCTATTCTCTGCTTGTTCTCTCTCACAATAAACTAACAATAAACTTAATAATAATAATCCAGGTCACTTGTTCCAAGAAATTTCCACATTCTGGATTTAGCTGGTTGTATCTTGGTGGTGTTTTAAACATGTTGCTCTGCCATTTTTTGATTTATTGATCTCAGACATTATATATTATACATATATATTATTAGACATTATATATTTATTTTGTGCTGTGAAAGATGATCTGGCTAACATAACTACTATCTATTTCTCTAATTATCCTTTCAACATCTTTAGCAATGGAATAAACATGGAAGATTTTTGAAGAATCAATATGTATGACTGCCTTTAGCAAGTCATCTTTATTTAGCCTTGGCTATACTACTAACTACCATATAGGTACTATAATAAACTAGTTTTTGTTCAATGCAATAACAGTGAGGGAATGAAGAATAGAGATTTGAGAAATATCTCAGAAGAAGATCTGACAGTATTGAATGAGAGAAGGAGAAGGGAAGAACTGTAGAATAACTGTTCAGTTTCTGGCGTCAGTGAGTATATGGTGTTGCAACATAGAACAAGAGGATGAATAAGTTTGGCCAGGGATACAGAAAGACAATAACTTCAGTTTTTGACATTGAGACATGGGGTGCGTTAAACAAGTAGAGATGTCCAACAGACCACTAGAAGTATGGATCTGGAGATTAGGAGAGAGATGTGGGCTTGAGGTACAGATTTGAAAGTCATCAGTTTTATGGGTGAAAATTGAAGCCATGGGCATGGATAATATTTCCCAGGAATATGTAAAAGAGTAAGTAAAGATGAAGACAAACAACAAAACCCTAAGGAACAACAAGATTTAAGGAGACAGAAGCAATTGTTACAGTATGTGGAAAGAACCATAATAAAACGATGCATGAGATACCCTAGTGACTCAAAATAAGATTGATTATGGGGCGCCTGGTGGCGCAGTCGGTTGAGCGTCCGACTTCAGCCAGGTCACGATCTCGCGCTCCGTGAGTTCGAGCCCCGCGTCGGGCTCTGGGCTGATGGCTCAGAGCCTGGAGCCTGTTTCCTATTCTGTGTCTCCCTCTCTCTCTGCCCCTCCCCCATTCATGCTCTGTCTCTCTGTGTCCCAAAAATAAATAAACGTTGAAAAAAAAATTCAAAATAAGATTGATTAACTGGTTGGGGGAAAGTTATCATATAAGGTGTTACTTTGGTTTAGACACTGAAGAATGTATAGAAGTGTGCCAATGGGATGAGGGTCAGGAAAACAGACAAACTCATCTACTTTACAAGGAAAACAGTGGGCTTCAAGTGAGAAGTCTTTCAACTATTTCTCACCCTGATACACTTATCTAGAGCAGTATTCCTCAAAGTGTGGTCAACAATTAACTTGCAAGAAAATCACACACGGGCTTCATTAAATTGCATATTATTAGGTTCCACTTTAGACCTACTGAATCAGAATCACTGGGGAGGAGGGAACTGAGCAATCTATACTTTAAAGTTCTCTAAGTGATTCTGAAGCAAATGGTTTGTGTATTAACCTTTGTACAAACTAAGGTGTGACCATGGGAACTTTCAGCTAAAGTGGAGTGGATGAAGTCAAAGAATTGTGATCTTCAAGGTGCTATTCTCTTCTTGCCAGTTTTAGCAGGAAGGCCTAGTGGGAAAATGGGGAACACGGAGGTTTTACAAGAGTATAATTGACTCAATCAGTTTTCCTTTATTTGGAAGGAAAATGAACCAGATAAGACTAAGAGCAGAGCAGTTTTCCATCAAGTTGGTCCCAAGTCAACCAGGAAGAACACACAGGCACCTTGATGAAAAGGAAATAAACAATTCATTTGGTGGATTGAATGTAGTCATTAAAACAACAACAACAACAACACACACCCATGAATTCCCTTAATTTTGTTTTCACTTTTCAGCTGCTTCTCTGGCATTTTATACTCAGCTCTTCCTAGTGAATTCACCTTACCTGAAGTCACTAAATGTTTAGTTTTTCATTTAATCAGTAATTCCGGGGATAAAAATTTCCATGTTTCCCATAATTTTTGTCCTAAAAAGAGGAAATCTGAAGTGAAGTCATTGTCTACTATTTAGTCAGAAAATGTTTCTATGTCTTTATATAAAAGATAACTGTATGTTTGGGAATATATTATTTGAAGTACATAGTAAAATAAATTACTCTTGAGAAATCATTTGTGCCCTTAGGGAATCTCAGGAAGTACTCTCACACTTTGATGGCCTATGAATGTTATTCTTCTCAGAAATCAGCAAATGGGTTTTGTTACTTTGTCAAAGCAGCTATCTACATGGCTCTCCAGAGTCAGGTATATCTTGCTAGAAATATGCTATCTGACTTCAAAAGATTGTAACACATTACTTTAAGAAAAGCTGTGACTATTTCTATTAATTCCTTTAATACTTCTAGAAAAAGAAATCAGATCATAAAAACTGCTTCCTTTGAAAAGACACTGTGATAAAATTAAGTCCATTCTAATTCCAAAGTTAAATATGAAGAATGGTAAGATTTCATAAGAGAACTCTTCTCTTTGTATGTATACTAATTCTATTTATCATACATGACTTTCTAAGATATATTTCCTGGCTCACATATTGTGCTAGTAAATTAGTAACACATGAGAAACAAATGATAGCTTTATCTAGTTCATTTAGGGATGTGTATGATAGGTATGATAAATGTGATATCCATATGATAGTCATACACACATTAGAAGATGCTTTAAAAAGTATAAGATGTGATAGGAAAATAAAGTGTCACTTCTGTGATTCCACCCAAGAGCTGAAGGATTCTGTTGTAAAAAAAAAAATAACTATGAGACTCAGAAAGGAGAGACAGAGAATATGGAGTTGTCAGTGTGTGTGTAAATTTGTGTAAAGGAAAGATACTAGAGAAAAAAATAATGGGCCACAGTAGTTATACTTTCTTCAGAGAAGAGGCTCTAATGTGGTATATATAAATATTTCCATAGGGCTATGAGACTTTTTTCTCAATTCATACTTACCAAAACAATCTTTTAATTATTATATTAGTTGCTGGGCTGCCATAAGAAAGTACCACAGACAGGTGGTTTAAATTGGAAGTTAATTTTTTCACAATTCTGGAGCTCAGAAATCTGAGATGGAAGTATTCGCAGGATTGGTTTCTTCTCAGGCTTCTCTCAGCTTGCAGATAGCCATCTTTTCCCTGTATTGTCACATGGTCTTCCTCTGTGTGTCTCTGTCCTAATCTTTTCTTGTAAGAAAATGAGTCATATTGGATTAAAACCTATCCTATTGACTGTCTTTTAACTTCATTACCTCTTTAAAGATGCTATGTCCAAATAAAGTCATATTCTGAGATCCTAGGGGCTTCAACATATAAATTTTACAAGGGCACAATTCAGCACATAAAAATTATTATTCTAGGTTTCCACATAAATTAATACAAAGGTTCCAGTAAATATATATCTCATATAAATTTTGAGTTAATATTTTTGGCAAAATCTTGACTATGAGTTACCTTTCTAAAGTCTAATCTGCATGGGGAATCAACACTCATTCCTGAATACTTGTTCTGGGCACTGGCATAGGTGCTAGGGCTAGAAAAACATAGGGACCACATTTCTTGTCCTTGAGGAGGACAAGATTTTTAATCTAAAGGAGGGAAATCAATATAAACAAGCAAGTACAATAAAATGTGCTAAATATTATTACAGAAGAAATGAAATATTGAAGGAGTAAATTCAGCTAGACCCATGGTGACATAATCAAGGTAAAATAATAGATTAAGCCCTAGAATATTGCCTAATAAATACTACTGCATAAAGCATTAGAGCTTATTATTTTTAATATGAAATTTATTGTCAAATTGGTTTCCATACAACACCCAGTGTAGACCTTATTATTTTTAAGACTTAATTCATTCATCTACCTGATGTTTTGCCTAAAGTCTTAAAACCTGTTTATAGTTTTTAAAGAAAATTTTATTAAGTGCTGTGTTTTTATTTGTAGAAAAAATCAGGATAAATATGTTAATTTTTTTTATTAATATGATGGTCATGACTTTGCAGAGTGTGTTATCAAAATTAAAAACCAGTCTTGACAGGCTATTATAAGCTGAGCCATCATTGAACTCAAGGCTATATATAAGAACTCTGAAATCCAAGGACAGTTAAAAAAATATACCTGAATTGTTTGCCCAAACTAGAATAATCCCTACTGACATATAAGAACCAGGGTACAAGAGTAGTGACATAACCCATCTCATTATCAAGTACTGTATCACTTAGCAGATATCTATTTTATAAAAGTTATCCTACAAATCTCTGCATATACTAGTGAATATTCATTATACATATGTCTTCTCTTTAGTCTTTTGAAGATGCTATCAGAAGTAGAAGAAGGTTTTTGGTTAGCAAATGTCACAAAGAAAAGGTCAGAGAATCTGCTTTTGGGTTATATATTTAAAATGGTATGAGTCCAACAAATATGAGTCTAACAAATATAAAGATATATGGCATGGCAAATGTTAAGGACAAAGTTGTTAAGGGTTGATAAACCTATTCCATATAGAAACCAATGTTTTCTTTCTGTTGATGTTTTCTTCCTCAGCTTTCTTGAAATAAAATACTTACCTATATGACTGAGGTTTGAAATACATAAAATGAGAAAGTTGACCTAAATTAATTTTATGGTCCTTGTCAAGAACTTTGAAGAGTCTGAAATTTTACTCTATGTACAAGTTAACAAGTTAGCTGGCCACAGTTTCACAGATGCTGGCAGAAGACACAAGACTCCAGGGTCAAGGAACAGTTTGTTAATACCAGCAATAGCTGTTGCTAAAATATCAGTATTTGTACCAGCTCTCTGAGCCCCAATTCCCACAGGGTAATTTAAAGAGGGCTAGAATATACCTTCCCATGCAGTAGGGTTCATTATAAGACAGGCATCCTGAATTTATTATTTATAATGGACAGTAATCTCTGGAGGGAAACACTATCTCTGCTTTATTTGGCTATTCACCACACAAAAATTATTTCTTTTTTTTTTTAATTTTTTTTTTCAACGTTTATTTATTTTTGGGACAGAGAGAGACAGAGCATGAACGGGCGAGGGGCAGAGAGAGAGGGAGACACAGAATCGGAAACAGGCTCCAGGCTCTGAGCCATCAGCCCAGAGCCTGATGCGGGGCTGGAACTCACGGACCGCGAGAGCGTGACCTGGCTGAAGTCGGACGGTTAACCGACTGCGCCACCCAGGCGCCCCTT